GATCATTTCCAGCCCCTGCTTCTATCAAAAATATGATGATTGATAAGAAATACCAGGTTATTTCTTACCTCTGACCAATAATCTGAACAAATCAGCAGAGGGAGACAAACAGATGGAGTTGTGAACTTGAAAGTTGGGATTTAAACAAAATTTGGCTTGCTTTCCATTAATTTCTTCTCTTTATTCATCTGGTTGCCTTCTGCTTTTCTCTCTTATGCTTTCTAACTAACCAGTCTGGTGGAGGCAGCCAACAGTTATTTTAATGCACAGCACTCTGCTGTGACCAAACCAGTAGACCACGCACAGCCCCGAGCAACTTAAATTCAATAAAAGGGATTTTGTCATCTGAAGACTGGCTTGAAGAAAACAAGAGTGGCCCAGTCAGGGCTTGTTTGAGTGAACACAGGCTCAGCTGCTGTCTAGAAGTGCGTAATTGAGCTGGTTGCATGCCATCAGCCTCTGCTGCACTACTGAGCAACTTGCACGTATCAAGAGACAAATGATGCATTCTCCTTTCTTCTCCTCCCTCCCCATTGATTTTTACTCTCTAAGAAGAAACAGACTTGGATTTAAAGAATTAACTCTGAGATCTGCCTCAAATTATTTTGTGCCAAGACTTCAAGCAAAGGCATTTTCCCTAAAAAATGATGCAATGTATTTGCATTCATATGACAAGTAACATTTATTATAGTAATAAGCCTGCAGAAGGCAGTTCTAACATTCTACCTCATTTGAGAAAAAGTAGAAACTGATGGATTGAGTCAGATCCATTGCCTCATAGCCCAGCGTGAATTTCCAGTAGCGACCACTGCCAACTGCTTCAAAGAAAAGGGTAAGAAACTTTGCATTAGGCTGTTGTGGTATGAACAGCCTGTATCTGGAATCGTCTTAATTTCCAGCAGTTAGAGCATGTTAAAAAATGAATCATGTTAGACCTCAGAGGTAGGGCTGGAGAGGACATCAAGAAATGATTTTGTTCACATCAAGTATCCCCAGCAGATACTGGTCTATATTGGTTTTAAAATCTCCATTGACAAACATTCCATAACACCTTCATGGTGCTCATTTCCATTCTACACTTTTATTAAGGTCCACATTAATAGAAAAAGTACAATTGAGAAAGAACCTATGGAGATTTCTAGTCCACATGCCAATTCACAGCAGGTTGCTCAAGAACTTGTCTAGTTGAGCTCTGAATGTCTCCAAGGAGGAAGATTCCAGTTCTTCTCTGGACAACCTCTTGGACAACAATATCTGACTATTATCATGGTGAAAATTTTTTTCTTAATTTATAGTTGGAATTCCCTTTTGTGCAACTTCTGTTTCTGTTGTCCTTTCACTGTGCACTTCTGGGGGGTTGACCTTGGCTGTGCGACAGGTCCCCATATGTCTGGCTCATCAAGTAGCTGCAGATAGCAGTAAGATCCTCCTTTGCTTTCTCTTCTCCATCCTGAACATACTCAGCTCTCTCAGCCTCTCCTTGCCTGTCATGTACTACATCCACCAACCATCTTAGTGGTCTCTCCTGCCCTTGCTCCAGTATGCCCATGTCCTTCTTGCACTGCAGAGCCCCACACCAGACACAGTGCTGCTGATGTGGCCCCACCAGCTCTGGACAGAGGAGGATCTCTTCCCTCTGCCAGTGATACGGATTTCCTGAGCTTCTAATACAGGATTTTTAACATCCTCCAGGCAGCTCAAGGGCTTCCTGCTTTTTGGACTGATGCTTTTACGATTTTTTCTAATAGTTTTTACACAGTTCAATTTCTTGAATGAATATCTGTGTACTGGATTTATTTGGTATACCCTCTCCTGCTGTTAAAGCTAAGTATGTGATAGTTAGCACCACAGACCAGCTAGCACAGTTAACACCACTCAAACTCATCCTGATGCACCACTCCAGACCAAATCCAGGAGTGCATCTTTCTGTGGATTCTAAAACAAGTTGTTCAAAGCAGCATCATTTACTGTATTCCAAAGTGTTTCTGAATTTCCCTCTGAAAAGGCATAGTTTTAGTTCCTATGTGGGCAGCTGGAATCTCCCACTGTTACTTACCTGCCCTAAATTTGCAGCTTGTCTTATCTCACTTAACATTTCCTGCTCACTACCACCAGCTAATCCGGGTGTTGGTATTTATTTACTAAGAATTTGGAACTTCAACCCACAAGTTCTTCTCTTTTTCTGTGATATCTTTATGCTGTTACACCATGTATTTCTGCTATGTACACCATTCCCTTGCCTGCACATCCTACTGTGTCATTACTGTAAAGCTGGTAGCCTGGGTACCATATACTCAATGAGCATCTTTCTCCTGCTGGATCTCTGAGATGTTTATTATATTGGGATTTTCATTTGATGTTCCCTATTTTAATTCTATATGAGAAGAAACAAATGTTCCTTTTTTTCCTTTCAGTTTTTTTTTGGTTTGGAATTTCCCAGCCTCTAATTTACTCCTGTTCTCCTTGTTTTAATGTTGCAAGAAGCGTATTAAAAAACCACAACTATGGCTGACAAATCTCAGCTATTCCATTTCCTCAGAAGTAAGCCCTGCACACTCAGCATGCCGTCCCAAAGCTCAGCAGGATGTTCCTCCACCAAGTTGCAATGGCCAACTTGGCCACTACTCATACAAACTGCTGGCTAGGGAAGGAGGATCTCCTGTTGGCAAGAAATAATTAGAACCTGCCATGAAGCAGAGCACTTTAACTCTAATTCCTTTAAAATATGAAAAATATATCCATTTCAGCTGATTAGTATTTCTGGATGGTGAATAAACATTGGACCCAGTAAATAACTTTTGGATTCCTTGCTGTTAAGCTTTGGTTGCAGTGGAAACATACTATTACTACTCTTACCTCCTTTTTCTACCACACTTCAATTCCTGGCAGCGCTTTGACATCTACCCTGTGATGTAACTTATTTGGATGAAAAGAAAGCAGTAATTTGCTGCAGGTCTTTGAAAAGTCTCAATAAACTGTAAATGCTCCTTTCTTTACACCCAAAGAAGTTGCTTCATTTTTGACTTCAGAACTACAAAGTAGCAGAAACAGGCTGGGGCAATCTACAGATTTTGAAGAGACTGGATTTGTTCAGAACCAATATTGTAACTCTTCAGTTTTCACAATACATCTTTACTACTACCAGAAAAAGCCAAGTAATGAGTAAGAATTCTTCCACTATCTTCCAGAGTGAAAGTGATTCAGCAATTACTGTCTCAACGACTTCAATTTTATATGAAGATTACATAGAAATCCCCTCCTTTTCCATCTAAGCCAGGAAGTTTGCACTGTGTTGCTTTAATATTTCAACATGAACAGGGTCCTAGTGAACTAAATAGCTTCAGAAATGTAAATACACCATTTGACAGAGATAATGGGAACTGACAGTTAAAAAGGTTTAAAAATGTAATTCTTTTTTATTAAAGTTTTACAGAAGAGAAATATCTGGACACATCCATATGACAAAGTCAGATTATTGGCTGAACACACACACGAAAGAAATCATGAGGAGGCATAAGCCTACCTTGCGGGAAAGGACGTGAAAGTATTTATATGACAAATATGCAATGAAAAGGGGAACAAGGACACTGATATTAAGATGTGTCTCTAGCCATGCTAACATGTGGCAGGACACATGCTCTGCCACAGTGGTAAGATGCCTTAGAGAGGTCATTGCTACTGCTGGCAGTGGTGGAAGACAAGGGCTCTATCTGATATAGTACACAGAAAATCAGAATTTTGCAGTATCACAGAATCATGGAATTGTTTAGGTTGGAAAAGACCTTTAGGATCACTGAGTCCAACCATAAACCTGACAATGCCAAGCCCACCACTGAACAATGTTCGCGCCACATCTATACATCTTTCAAATCCCTCCAGGGATGGTGACTCCACAAATTCCCTGGGCAGCCTGTTCCGATGCTCGACAACACTTTCAGTGAAGAAATTTTTCCTGATATTCAACCTAAACCTCCCCTGGTGCAACTTGAGGCCATCTCTTCTCGTCCTATCACTTCTTGCGAAGAAACAAATATTTCCTTACTACAATTCATGTACTTTGGAAGAGCGGTGACTTTGCAGCAGCCTTCCAGTATCTGAAGGGGGTCTACAAGGATGCTGGAGAGAGACTCTTCATCAGGCACTGCAGTGATAAGATAAGGGGTAATGGGTTCAAACTTAAACAGGGGGAGTTCAGGTTAGATATAAGGGAGAAATTCTGGTGCAGCCTGTTCCAAGCTGCTACAGCAGGCCTAAGGATGTGCACCTTTGTCAGACAGAAAGAGGAGCCAGTTTTTGGAGTCTGTGCTAAGCCAAGCTGCTTCTAAGTGGCATACTCAGTGGAAGTGTTGTAAAACAGCAGCCGTGACTTGACGGAGATCCACTGCCACTTGGTGACATAGGAAATTGTTCCTGCAAACACTGCTCTCCTTTCATACAGCTAGAACAGCAAAGGCGGGTACTTCCTCATCTAGCTAGACTGCAAATATTCTGTGGAATTTCAGGAAATTCTTAATTGCCATGATGTCCTTCAGCAATTTGCTGCTAAGCAGTATTTATTTTTACCAGTTTAAAATTGGCTGCTTGTTTCCTTTAGTTTCTTCTATTATAAGAGACTGCAAACATCAAAAATACCTTCCTTCCACCCTCTCAGGCTCCTTCCTTCTGGAATAAATATCTTCCATAATATTTGTTCCACAATCTGTTTTCCTTGGGAATCTGTGTATTTATTCTTCTCTAGACTAAGTAGGACTAATCTGCTTATTCTCCTCTGACCTCATTTCTGACAATTTGCAGTGTTGTTTCCCACTTCCCTGCTCTTCCCCTGCTGCCTGCGAGCGCAGTATTTCTGCTGAAAACAAGGAACATGTCCTGCCCCTTCACATTGGCTGAATAAACAAAAAAATGACATTTTCACGCTGCTATTAGCATTAAACTACTAATTAGACTGAAAACACCTTCCGTATCCCATGGCTGGTAAAGAGGGATGAATATTCACTTACTGCATTTCCAGCTTCAGCAGCCAGCCGGGCGGCATATCTGGCGATCAGCCTGTGCTCCTCGTCCAGCCTGCCGGGGCTGTCCAGGACACTGCCAAGGAAAACCCAAAACACCCCATCAGTATCTGCTGCCTCCAGGTATTAGTCATACCGGAGGATGATAGAGGAAAGGATGTATTATTGCAGAGACAGAAACGGGAAATAAAAAAGAGTCACACTGGAAATAATGTAGATTATTCCCTTTTTCATTCTGCTTCTGCCTAGTAGTATTTTCTCCAGGATTCACATATTCCAGTTTCATATGATTAAAATGACTTGTTTTCAACAGTTCATAAATGCACATCAGTAGGAACAAAATTGATTTGTTTCTGAGGAGCTTTTTTGCAAACCCTTTTGGTTTATTCAAGGTAAAAAGGGGCAAATAGCTGAATAACCGAGAAAAGCTTTGTCCTCAGGAGATGCAGGATGACATGTGTCAGAGTCAGGATGATTTCCAGAAGGAAGAACAGAGGGAACCATGCTGACCTAAAAACAATGGACTATATCACTGAACAACATCAACTTAAATGCAAAGAACACTTTGTAAGTCAGCCTGACTTATACCTGACCTACTGCCATCTCACAGCACCTGAATGTACAAGATGTGGTGATGTGAGACTTGGTCTTTCAAACCTCATAGAGCAGAGGATGAAAGAGTTCCCTCTGCATTGCACTGCCTCAAGCTGACAGGCTGTAGCTCAGATGTCTTGGAAATGTTGCTGAAAGATGTATTAAAATAATATCTCAAATAATCATCAGCAACAGTGACAGCATCATGTGGTGAGAGAAGAGAGGGACACTGAATTCTGAAACAGAAAAGGGAGAGACAGCAAATGGGGCAGATCCCCAGGATTAGGAAGTGAAAGGCAGCACAGGGATCTTTCTCACCTTTAACATGAGCATCATCTCTGTGTGTGTTAATCATTAACATGATCAGCCTAGTCTGGTCACCCCATCTAGTGTCTCAGTTTCTACAGTTCACAAATAATTACCTTTTAAACTATATACATACAAGGGGATAAATTATATTTTTCAGGGTGTATTAAGTGAAACCAGCTAACATTAAGATCCATGACCAGCTCAGTTTTGGTGCACAGTGGCCTTGCCACAGAGAATCAGCCAAATGAAAGAGCAACTTTTTAAGTCAACATCTAACCAAACTATTCAATAGCTGCTTGTTGTCTTGCTACTGCACAAAGATTTCTCACCACAGTCTTCCTTTAATAGGGAATAAACCGAACCATTATTAACTGAAAACAATCAAGTTTAATGTGGAAATGAGCAATGTGTTTCTTGTTGCAACACAGCCTCATGCTATGCATGATGTTTCAGGTGGCATTCACAAATACCACACTGGCCGCTGTAAATAACGCAGTGCTGTACCTGTGTGTGCCTGCAGCAAAATTTGGGGCCAGAATTACACCACAAGCAGCATCAAAGGAAAAGAGATGCACACCCAGTGCACCGCAAAAGCTACTTTTATCATCACTTCACAAAATAATTTACATTTCTTTAAGATTAATTTCACAGATTCATGTTTACATTATTCAAATTTCAGATTTACGTTTATCTTAAAGAACCAAATCTGTATTGCATTCCTTATGGTTATTTTAAAAATGTAGATTTCATTTCTTCTTTTGCAACACCAGATTTAACAACTTGATAGCTTTTAAGATCCTGAAAGTTTGCCAGATGATGAGTTTGAGATGATGTAGAAACATCAAACTGAATTGAATAGACATATGACTACAATTTACACAGATGGGTCTACAATGAGCATAAACAGCACTGCTACGTTCCTGCGTTCAGCCTGCTGGATTAAAACTGAACAGAGCAACAGGAAGAACTGGTGAAAGGTGAGCAAAACAGTGGGAAAATAGATTGAAGAGAAGAAAACCCAGAGTTTTTACACCTGGCTTGATGAACTTCTCACACACCTTCATACTAATTCATTTTCTCACTTCTTTGTTGAAGAACAATCTTTCCCACGCCAGTTTCTGAATTTGACATTGGTTTTGTTTAGCTTTCCTCTGCAATTCTGTCTGTTAAAGTTTTTTCTGCTTTTATAGGACTGCAGATCATCTGTCCCTTCTGCCCTTTCCATAACCTGGCATTTCCTAATACCTCTCCCAGCTCCTGGCCCTTTCCTGAAGAAAACCTGTAGTTAAAAAAATAATAATAATCATTTAAAAAAAATTACTTTTGCAATCAGAAATATTTCCCAGATGGATACAAAACGGAGTTCCAGTACAGCTCCTGGCCCTCCTGCATATTCTTTAATATAAACCAGTCTGAACAGATGAACCAGTAGGGAACAGCTGTTGGGTGAACAGAGAGGGCATAAACCGCAATCTAAACAATACCCAGAACTCTTTACATCACTTCATGAAGGAAAACTCACTTAGCAGTTTTAATTTCTGTGGAGACATTGCGAAACATTCCCGCCCTGAAAACGCTCCTGTGAGCGGCACCCATGGAGCTCCCTGTCCTTTTGGACAACAGCAGCCCTGCAGGCTGCGAACCTTCCCCTGCCTGAGCAAGCACCTTTGTTATCCAAAGCTACCTGTGTGGAATGGTCCTGCAGGAACAGCCAACACACAGACATGAGCACAGCAGTTCAAGGAGAAGAGGAAAGGCAGCAAAGGGAAAGAATAAGCCTGGCTTAAGGCCAGAGCTCAGAGATTTTCACAGCAGAATTTTGATAATAAGGCGATATTATAGACTTTGCAATCTTAAAAATACTGTGCCAGGTATTGTGCTACTTATACAGCACTGATTAGCCAGTCATTTCCTGAGCACTCCCACTTCTTCCTTTGGAGGTGCAGATCACAGCACATAGGTAATGCAGACGGAAGGGTCTGCCAAGGGGAGGCTTTGACATTCACAAGGAAGCATCAGTCTTGGGCCATTCCAGGTCTGTTGCAGGGGCACTGAGAAAATGAGACAGAACCAGACTGTTGGGAGCCACAGAACATGAGCACCCCGAGGGGAGAGAGAGACGGTGAAGTGATGCTGATTTTCAAGTGTCAATGGAAATGTCTGGGACAATGTGATGAACGCGTGCAGGAAGCATCATCGCTGCAGTCACCCTGATCTAACACAACGTGTGCAGGCATGAAAGGGATGCTCTCAGCCTCTGCTCTCCTCTGCTGTGTGGGCAGAGATGCTAGGGCAATGTGATGAGCCGGTGAAAGAAACTGAATTGGCTTAAGAGTGACCAGACAAAACAATAGCTTGTTTTTTGCCAGGGCTGTTCCCTGAGCCAGCTCAGCAGGCGGCTGTATAAACTAAGGAGTCAACAGAGAGGCGAGAGCGGGTGCACTGGCAGGATGCATGGGGTAGGGGAGAAGCTAAAAACCAGCACCCCGCACTTTGTTCAGCTTGAGGCTGTCATGAAAATGACCCATCAAAATGGGGTCAAATGCAGTCTGTAGAGAGAAAGGCAGTGCCCTGTTGTCAAACACTAACACAAAAATGAGGTTGGACAACCAAAGTATTGGCTAATGATGGGCAGTCAGTAAAGGATGTACGAGACGATACATCATGGGGGCAGGTTTGAGATCTTAAGCTCCTTCCAAAACTGCTTAGGAACTTAGGATGCTGAGAAGTATCAGAGGACAGCAAGAGAAGGCATGGCTGATTCTTCAGCACTGACCTAAAGGGTCACATGGCCCAGGTGTCAACTGATGGTGAGACAAGAGTAAGGATCCTGGGGACAGAGTATCTTCAAGAAAAATGATTTTTTCCCTTTAAAACCAGGAGTGCTGCACACAAGTGCAGTTCCAGAGAGTCAGGAATTTAAAGGAAACCAAATCAAACCAGCCAAGCAGCTAACCACCCATCCATCCACCTAGATCAACTGACCAAAAGTAAACTACACAAATCCTGGGACCAGCTGTCTTCTGCCAGAAGTGCAGAATACACAAAAATGCTGATGCTCCAGGTAGGGCTACTTCCTTTTCGTGGTGGAAAGTGGAGCTGTAATAGAGGCCTCATGGGGCCAGGGGTAAAGCGGGCTTGCTGAACTATGTGGAATGTAAGCTATGAATGTTGAGCTTAAAAAACACGTAACAAATGACTGTCCAAGTAATAAAGCACAACTTATCAGCTCTGTAAGCTTTCAAACTGTATATGGTATCACCTGCTGCACTCCGCAGCTGTCTGCCTGCAGCACATCCTTTAGGGTGGGGATCCATTATTTCTTCAAAAAGCACTTAACCAATTTGGCTTGTTGACACTATAATACAGTAGGTAAAAAAAAAAAGTATACTATCATAAAATAAATGAAGTCCACTGAGTTCTGTTTGCTATATTCCTTCTGTAGCTTGGATGGACTTCTTGGTTGGAGGTCAACAATGAATTAAATACTTAATATGATGAAAAATCTTAGGAATCTAGCTAGTCATGGCTTAAAGGCTCTCAAAGTTTGGCTGAAATATAGGAAAGGATACTGAGTGATAAAGAGCAAAAGTAAGTATACACAAAATCAGTGACTGGCAGTGGAAAAAGGTAAGTTCAGAATTGAAGTAGGGCTCCTCTTTAAGAGTCATCGTAATTTATCACTGGGACAGACTGTCAATGAACTGAGTGGCTTCTCCATCATAGTGTTCTCTGAAAGTTATATTTTTAGAGAAACAAGGTATTAGGCTCAGCAGTTTAGCACAGGGATGAACAAGGGTAATGGCTTTAAACTGAAAGACGGGTGATTCAGACTAGATATAAGAAGTTGTTTATCTTGAGGGTGGTGAGGCCTTGGCCAGGTTGCCCAGAGAAGCTGTGGCTGCTCTATCCCTAGCAGTGTTCAAGGCCAGGATGTCAGGGCTTTGAGCAACCCGGCCTAGTGGAAGGTGTCCCTGCCCATGGCAGGGCGTTGGAATTAGATGAGCTTTTAAGGTCTCTTCCAATCAAAATTTATGGATAGGATAGGATAGGATAGGATAAGCTATTTCATTTGGAAGGGACCTACAACAATCATCTAGCCCAACTGATGGATCACTTCAAGGCTAACCAGAAGTTAAAGCCTAGGACATTGCCTAAAAGCCTCTTAAATGTCCAAATGCCTGCAGACTGGTGTGAGACAACAGAGAAGATGCTGTAAAGGTCTTTTCAGGTCCTGATGGCTATGCTGCCCTGGCAGGAGAGGGGGTGTAAGGAGCGTACAAACAGCAACTGGGCCAGAACTGCAGTCCCATACTTTGTCTCCAACAGCAGCCCAGAGCAGATGCAAGCAGGAGGACAGAAGAGGGGAAGCAAAGTGACGTTTATTACAGGAAAACCTGTCTGTAAATGAGATTTACTGTTATCTTAGAGACAGTCTGTGACAGCTGGCTGGAGTGTACTTAGGATCTCCACACAACCTGTCAAAAGCAGACAGATATACTGTTATACCAGATTTCTGGGGTGGTGAGGGGTGAAGATCAAAAGAAGTGACAATGGAGCACAGATTTTACCAGTCTCTTGTGCTGACTTGGAAGACACTCCCATGTGCACTGAAACCAGCATTTAAATTATCTTCTTCAAGGAGTACACTGTTAGTCTTGTAATAGTACCAAGAGACTTCATTAAATTTAAGGACCTAAAAGGTTGAGAACCTCTACTCCAACTGGTTGTAACATGGCAGCTATGAGCTACATACAATATTTCAATCTGTCATATACTCTTGAAGATGCACCCCTTTGTATCTTGAAATCCTATGGCTACAGTAGTTGACTGAAGGTGAGAGTATGGAATTCCTTATTTTTTATTGTCTTGTGGACAATATTATGGGCTGTCAGTTCATAGGAGGTGATAGTGATAATAACAGTGATTCACTACCAAGAAGAAACCTGACTTTCCCCAGAGATCTAGACAGCCAGAACACACTTTGCTATGTAGAGGGGAATACAAATTTTTACACAGCAGTGATGAAATAGAGCTCTCAAAGTATTATCCAGAGGATGACAACATGTATAGAGCAAGGCTTTTACACATAGCCTCCAGATCACTAAACCTCCTTTTCCTTTCCAGCACAGCTCTGGCTCTGTAAAGGCATAATTTAATTAGGTCCAAAAGTGGAAGATGGAAAACCTCCTAGCTATGTCCTGTGATGAAATGGGAGAGCTGCATTTTGGGGCTTTAGGGTAAAATTTCTCTACATAGACACAGACAGGAAATACAAATGTGCACAAATACTAAAACTGAGATAAAAGAAACTACTTCTTCGATGGATTCACTTTTTTTTGGAGAGGCACAGACAGAAAGAGTCATATTCAGCAGGCCATGTTGATGGGATTGAACGTGCTTGCTTGTTAGTCCAAGTAACAAATACTGTGAGAGGATGGGACGTCTGCCTGTGACTGCATCTGGGGAGGAGAGGTAAAAGCAGTAAACAGAACAGGTAGAGTTATAGGGTAATGCTGGCACAAGAATTAAAGGGCATGAGGTGGCTGTGAAAAAAATTAAGGTGGAAACTAGTTTTCTGATGGTAAAATTAGATTCCAGACTGGTCATGGAGAAGAAAATTCTAACCTGTTTGGGATGATGTTAAATCAGTCCATGTAAGGAATTCCGTACATTGTGAACACAGGGTGGGAATGGACACCAATTCAGACTTCCTATCTGATGGTGGTTTGTGTGTATGTGCATATGTGTTTGTGTATTTTCAGCAGATTTTAGAGAATACTGAATGCATTTCCTTCTATTTCTCAACTGAGGCCAAATACCTTGACTAGAACATCCCTCCCCAGAGGAAGCAGCATTACTGTACCCATCACTGCTCCGGAACACTCTCCTAACACTAACCGTGCACTGCTCTGCAGCCGGGTCACATAGGTGGCTATCAGTGCATGCTCGTCCGCTAACTGGCTGGCAGCATCCAGGTTGCACTGTAACCTAGTGGCAATGAAGGCAAAAGAAAGCAAACAGAACATAAATACAAAGCAAATAATTAATGAACGTTAACGAAACAGTTAAAGATTAAAACAAACAGATGAGTAATTAAAAATGGAAATATGTTTCCACGAGTCACATGAAAAGGACACCTTCTGCAGTTAATGATTAAAACACAGACTGGAGACACATTTGGGTACCTAAATAAGCAATGAATACAGCTGTGGAGCTTCCCTGAGCCTGCTGTCACTCTGGGAGAGTGGGATGGCCCTGAGCAACATGATTAAAAGCATCAAGCAGCCTCCAACATTTCCACCAGGATATGCTGTCTTCAGGGAACAGGGGAGCAGGTGGCTGGGCATGGCCAAGCCACATGGTTTGGGGATGGAGCCCTGGCCCCAACAGAACTTACCTGGAAACAGTGGCAGCAAACAGCTCTGAAAATCCCCTAAACCATGTCAAAAACAAGAATTGAACATTTCCAGCCTCTTCTCTTTCTTTTATATAACAGGTCCATCAAACAAAAATATGAGGGAGAGGATAAAAACCTAAAAATCAGTGTCTGGCATCAACAGAACTAACCTCCAACAGGGATTCACTGAATGGCACAGGGTTTTGTTTTTTTGTTTCTTTTGTGGACTCATAAAAATAAAGGTACTATAGTTTTGAATATTCCTATGAACAGAAACTGAATGCAAGAAATACCTATCAGAAGTAATCCAGCATTAACAACTATTTGTCTATATGTTCGGACCAAAATATGCTGGTTTATACCACGCTTACGACAGCAGCATCTCAAAGCCCCTGAGAGAATAAAACAAAATTGTCTCCTTTTTTTTATCTCAGGCACCACATACAAAAGCAGCAACATTTTCTTCTCCAGCCCAAAGGAGCAATATAGCAATTCTATCCCACATTTCCCCCCCATATCCAGGGGAGGTTTGCCTCCTGTATTCCAGTCTGCCTTTCCACCACATGAAATGGTGCATGTGTAGAGAAAGCACTACTCTCTGCTGGGAGTGGAAAAGTCCCATGCAGATGTGAGATCAGACTGCTACCTAAACGATTCTTGAACACATATCACTGTTATCTTAGCATAATACGCATTTCTTCCTAAAACACAAGCGTACAACAAATTCCATTTTTCATTTCTATGTCAGGTATTCAAGCTGCTCTTTCATTTCATAAACTGCAGTTTATTCCTTCTCCACACATGTCCAGGAAGTATTTGTTTCAGAGCTCTAATAAACATGGCATTTATTGCTTTCAGCATCAATACACTTATACTATGAAAACAGAATCCTCATTTTTCAGACATACAAACTCTTTCTTCTCTGTTATGTGCAGCAACATGTCAGAGAAGTCTGCCAGAAGCAGAATAAGACCTTATAAAAAAGAGGCAAATTGGAATTACCCACATTCGCCCCTCCGGGTAATGAGCAACCTTTGTAATAATGGGTTTGTAACAAGAAGGAGACTTAACATTAACCACCACACAGAAGAATTTTTAAGCAATCTACACTTTGTGAAGCCTCGCTACTGGCAAGTGCTGAAAAGCTTTATTTTAGATATGCTTTATAGCAGGCACATTGCTGCAACCACAGCAATTAAGATTCCAAGACCTTTTTCATTATACCTTACTACACATGCTTTCTTGAAAATAAAAAAGTCCAGCAGAAATGACCCCATTTTAAACTCAAAACGGTGGCAGCTTTAATAATGATTAGCATCCCTAGTTTTGGAAGAAAAATAAGAGTCAGATTAAATTAACGTGAGTCTGAGCACTGTTCCTAGCACATATCTGATTTTCCAGTCGCATTTCTGAACAGGGTAAGCTTGCCTGGCTGTAGCCCAGCCCCTCCAGAACACCACCCAGCAGCCTCCAAACCTCAGAAAATGACAAAATGCTGACAGTCTCCTCTCTGCCTCCTGCCAGGATGGCACCGAGACAGTAGGAATCCCCTGCCTGTCTTCTGGCTGCTTTACTTTGTTAGCTGCAGTCATATAAAACAATGGAAATAGTAAAGATACAGTTAGAGCACGTTTTTGACTACCAGGGAGCTGGAGAAAGAGTCACTGGCAAGGGGGGGGGAAGCCCATGGTTCCTGATAGATCTGTCACCAAAAGGAGTAGATGCATCTGGGAAGAATCATCGCTGTGTTTGGCAGGCTATGTCAACTACAGGTTATTTTCTCATTGAGGAATATATCTACGTGTAATGGGCAAGAGAAAGTGCAGGGCTTAGGGTCATCCTGTGGCTTGCACTGTAAAAGTCTTGTAAGTATACGCCTTGCTTTCACAGAGCAGAAGATGAAAATACAGAAGCCAGTGCAGGTAATCCTGATCGGCAAAACTCACATAAAGACAAATTTCAGGGTTCAAAAAAAGCATTAAGCACATATCCACTGTCCTAGTACCTTCCTGACTGAAGATGCTGCTCTATATGCAGAAGGCAGGCAGAATTTGTCCCCGAAAGCAGGGCCCTCATGGCAATGCTGACTGTTATTCAAAGCAAGCAGGATTTAAGTTATGCTGACACACACCTTTAACTCTCGTTTCCAAAGGGCTTGCCTTTTACTGAATTCAGCTCCTCTGGGAAAGCCTGAGGTAACTATGGACAAGCTTAATTCTTTGTCAACTTTGTCAGTATAATACCTAGTGAATGTTTGTGTAGCAATTAGTGCCCATTCAAAGCAGCTGTAGCATGTTAATTTACAGCTCAGCAGCACTGTGTTTAGCAAAAGCAAAACACGACAGTGCTACTGACAGGACTGGAAGAGAAATCAGAAACCTGATATATATATATATATATGTGTATATATATATATATATATACACACCTGTATCTTAAAAATTTATTTCATGCTGGTCTCAATTAGGTACAAAATTGTTCAGCATATATCTCTGCTTCCCCATCCCACCAGCAATGCTCCCATTGCATGTCATCAAACCTGCAACATTACCTGCCTACATCTTCTCATTTTCACATGAACCAAGTGCAATCTCAGCAACATCGGTACCTGAACTGCTCCTGGTGCCTTCAGCTGCCATGCGCCCTGTTTCACAAGCAGGAATTTACCTGCTGGCCACTCACAAACTGGGAACACTGAGCAAGGTGTGCACTGAGCTTGGGATTGCCTGGGCTGAGACAGGGATCATAGAATCATAAAATCCTAGAATCCCAGGTTGGAAGGGAACTCAAGGATCATATGGCCCAACCTTTTTAAGCAAAGCATGACCTAGACTAGATGGCCCAGCATCCTGTCCACTCTCTGTTTTGGAAGACTATTTAGACACCCTTGATCAGCACTGTATTACAACTGTTCTGAGGTGTTTCATTTCACTGGATGAGAAAAAGCCCTGTAACATCTCCGTTCAACACAACACAGCTCCATCCTTCATTACCCATGACTCTTTTCTGAATGTCCTCTCACTAGACCCAAGCTTCACCCAGCCCTGCAGCACCACACAACCACGGCACAGCTCTTGGTCACCAGCCACTGAATTACAGCTCCCAGGGACACTCACAATTGCATGTGTTGATTAGAACAAATTCTCCTCTCAGGCCTTGATAAATGCAGTTCTGGTCCTCCCTGTAGTCATTTTTTTTTTCCTCCAGTGAATCACTTGTAGTCAAAAGGCAATTCTGGAGCAGCCCAAGCCAATCATGAATTTGGATAGAACTTGTTAAATAATTTTAAGCAACACGAAAATAACAAAACCTTAGGAATCGCTTCTCCATATTGCTGAAGCCATGTTGTTGATGAACATTATGCAGATGTTTAGCCTCATGTTGAAATTGTTCCATCTAACACACTTAAATATACTGTTAGTGCTGCCAGCTGCTCCTGGACTTGTGACGTGCCTACAGCCTCCCTAGCATATGCTGTCCAAAAGTCAAGACAGCACATCAGGTAGAAGCCACCACTACCGAATAATTTTCTGAGCTGTCCTAGACACAGTGCTGGTGTAACTACCAACCCCAGTCACATCATCTCTCTTTTTTTGTGGCAAGTTTGTCAATTTGCATTCAGCTCCTAATCCACTACAATTCCCTGGACACTTCTCAGCAATAGGCTTGTCTAGTTGGGTCATTCTGTTATTATTCATCCCTTTTATGTTATTTTCCATCCCTCAAAGTTGTCTATTTATTTATTTCTGATCCACAGAACCATTCTGAATTAGTCGTGCCCTCTGGAGAATCCCTGGTATCTCTCTTGCCGTGTCAGTATGACGTATCTGTACGCCCATTCCTTTTTTCATCATGAAAGCTGCAAAGATATAAACCAAGAAATGGATGAACTGGAAACAGACCCCATGTGGTCCTCCTGACATGTGCTCCCTCTTTGGTAGGAAAATATTGATATTTGCTTTCTCTGACTGCAGTTTTCCAACTGGCGCTTCACCCACATAACAGCAGTTTCAACCAGTCCACATTTACCTAGTTTATTTATGAAAATACCATATGGGATAGTGTCAAAAGCTTTATGAGTCAACACATTTTAAATTAGTGCTTCCCCCTCCTTCACGAGGCCACCCACCCAGGCAGAACCACCCAACTTCCACTCTTGACACGATTTGTTTTCCATGTAGACATCTCAGCTGTTCTTCTACGTGGGTATGGACTGATTGTTTTATAATGTGCTCAGGAACCTGTAGGTATCCCTTCCACTTTCAGACATGTATTTCAGCAAAATTACTTCTTTAAATAGCCTGAGAGCAGAGAAATAGCAATGTAGTCTCCTCACACCCCCTCTTCTTCCTCCTTTTTTTTTACTTTCATGATTAAAATAGAAGTGGCTTGGTTCCTTGTCTGTACAGAAAGAGGCCCATGGCCAGCCGTGCCCGTGCAGCTCAAGGATGGCCAGCTGCTGGAGACAAGGACACCCTGGGGTGTTTCTGCTGCAGACGCAGCCACAGCTGTATTTGTGCCTGAAGTTGCCTTTAAAACCCGAAGTCTGGGAAAGTTAACTGTTAAAAAACCCACTTGTAGTTATTTTCTA